TAACAACAATTACAATGTTTCGTTAGATTTCCAAAGACTATTCACCAACATTCAACTAAATGAATGCATTGATATTGCATTTGACCTTATTTACTTACATCAATCTAACCTCCTTATCAACAGTCATGACCTCAAACAGCTTTTTCTTATTGCCACAAATCAAACACACTTTCTAGTAAACTGAATTCTTACGATCAAATCAACGGAGTTGCGATGGGTTCTCAATTAGCGCCACCACTAGCCAATATATTTATGTGTCACCATGAAAGAAATTGGATAAAAAGCTACAATGGACCTGTCATACCTTTTTACAGAAGCTACGTAGACGATATTTTTTGTTTTTTCAATAACGAAAACGATGCCTCATCTTCTTTCAATTACCTTATCAACAACACAAGAACATTAAATTTACTTTGGACAAAGAAACAAGACAAGAAATTACATTTCCTAAACGTACTTATAACTAAAAACTCTAAATCCAAAAACTTAATTACATCAATTTTCCATAAGAAAGCATACATCGTACTTTTATTGAATTTTTTTTGCTTCACTCCACAAACATATAAGACAGGACTCATAAAAACTCTTCTTCACCGCATTAAAAAATTAACAGCACAAAGACGGCTATCAACGCAACGTAAACGAATTTATCGGCATTCTAAAACGTAACTCATACCCCTTGCATTTCATAAACCAAGTAATAAAAACATATAACAACGACACTAACTACAACACAACTAACAATGAACAAGACCACGCACAAGCCAAACCCAAATCCATTACTTCAAGCTACCTTACATTGGCCACTACTCAAAAATCACAAAACGAAAACTACATAACTTGGTCAGACGTTACTGCACAAACTTAGACGTAAAACTAGTATTCTCTTTAAAATCAAAAACATCTTCCGCTTCAAAGACCCCAACATTTCCTCTTAAAATCCAATTTGGTTTATGAATTCTCTTGTGCGGGTTGTAATTCTTGCTATATTCGCAAAACCAGCCGCCACCTCTCCACACGGATTAAATAGCATAACACTTCCAATAAAAACTCTTACATATTCAAACACATCCTCTCATCACCTCACTGCAAATATAAATATCCACAATCCTTCTTTCGTATATTAGACAGTGCCCACACTCCTTCTTCTTTAAAACTATAAGAAGCACTGTACATCAAAAAACTCAAACCTAATCTGATCAAACAAATTCAGCATGTCAATACTATCTTTCACTTGTAAATATTTAAAACCTCTAATCATTAAATAATTGTAAATAACTTCCGCTTCATCCCTTTTGTCCATATACATGTCTTGTAACATATTTCTTTATATATTAACTCATTTAAATATTCATTCATCATACCGCACTGAAGATGGCATAAGTGTGCCGAAACATGTCTGCAATAAAAAATTTGAAAAACTTGTCGTTTACGTTAAATGCATCATTTCTTTCGTGCTGCTACGAAATTATGGAAATATTCAACTTCTTCGTCACGTCATGACGAACACACCAAAATTACAACGGCTTGTCACGCACCATTAAGAAAATTGAACAATACTTTTCCATCCCAACTAGAATCGAATCAGAAACTCAGGTCAGGACAAGTTCAAAAGAACCATTGTCAATTTTAGAAGAAAATGCCTGCACCATATGTAGAATATATGAGTGCACAAGATGTGACAAGTTCAAGCAGCAATTTCAGGAAAAACTATCTGAGCTAAAAAACTCTTCGTACTTAGTAGACGATTTCAACTTGCTCAAAAATGTAATTTATATCAATCACGATCTTCAGGTGAAACTTCAGACAGGTTGTCTAAAGGTGGAAGGTCTTCTTCTTCGGGCAAGCCCTAAAAATAGAAATTAAAAACTTACGAGCATAGATTAGCACAAAGTGTTTCACAAAAAACTATCTCTAAGAAGGAAAAAAAAGAAAAACGGAAACTTGAACCGAATGCTTCCTAATCAATAAGAACTTAAAGAAGGTCGGTATTTTATTTTGAAAAAGTGGATTTACTTCATATTTAAGAAAATATCAAAGACTCTTTCAATAAAGATTAGTAAATTTAGAAGGGGCAAGCCAGTGGACATTTGATATCTCAAGTCTAAACGACTAAAAAATAGCTCAATATGTTGTATATTTAAAAAATAGTTAAGCACTCCCTACGCTGCACTTAAATCAAAGTATACTTCTATTTTTTTAGTGTAATAGGAATCTAAATTACATAATTTTCCACAACTTAAATCACTATATTGTCAAAAAGCTGAAATTATTTTACAGCCTTATCCAAGGTCATCACCTTTTGGAAAAGGCCTAGATGTTTCCTTTTACTCTTAACATAGTTGCTTCATCTGTTTTTGGTTGAAATTTCAGTTACATCTCTATTTTGGACATAAAGAAGGAAGGTGTTACAAGCACAGTTTTATATGATGAAAATGTACATGACGTTAAAACTACAGGTCGTATAAAATTTAAACAGGTTGGAACACGTCGCAAATGTCATCAGTGCGTCATATACTGGAAATAGGTAGTTAGACTACCAATGGTCTATGTGACGGCAAAATTGTTGCAAGTGTAACAATTTTTAAAATGAGAATTGTGTTACCGAGATGCTTTTTTGTAATACCTTGGGCACGGAAACGATAAAGCTAAAAAGCAATTTGATCATAAAATTGGCAAATGTTCAAGTTAACAAAAATGTGGAAAAGGCAAAATAATTCGCAATTTGGATGCTTAGCGTACGTGCCCAACTAGGAGAAATTTTTCCAAATTCGGAAGCTTGGAATACATGACCCAACGTGTTCCTGATAATTTTTAGCTTTGTAATTTTCATGCAAGGCTTCAAAAGTGCTTCTCAGTAACACATTCTCGTGTTTTCAAAAATGAAAGATAAATGTATACCTTCCAATAAATCTATGTGGATTATTTATGTTTTTTAGTTGTTTATACCAAATTCACATCTGCATAAGTATTTAAAAATTTATAAATTATAGCAGCTCAATTGTAAATTGAATATACTTTTTAATATTAGAATAAAGTTATTATTGATGAATTTCTACAGAATATATTTTTATCGGTTAAGTCGCCACCATACGCTTTTGAAATGTAAATATAACCTAAAATGAGCAGTAGTGATTTATTTTTACTTACCTTATACCTGCCAAAGCATTGATTCAGATTTATAAATAGTAACGTGTTTTCATGGCAAAGAATATGCAACCGAAATATCAAGTATTTTCTCTATTGCTGGTAAATTATTGTTAATGAAAACAAATATTTTAGTGCTGTTGCTGGAAACTGCCATAATATAAGTTCACATACGTAAAAAGGCCTAGCATTGGGTCACGATGAGTTTCAAAGCACGAACTATTCAACCGCGAATGTAGTTCAAATCCATATAATTGAGTTTGGCTTTCAGTAATTATTCAAAAAAACGACAAAAGTTTCATCGTGGATACCGATATATTTAAAAGTTCCATTAAACAAGGCGGAATTGCTTCATTCTTTTGCTCATTTAGCCAATATCACACAGTTTCATTGTAAGTTTATATTGCAAGTAGGAAAGAAAATGGCTGCAGCGTGCTCGCCACAGACCCTTTGTCCCAACTATTACAAATAGAGGTCTCTGGCCCCAGCTACTATCCATAGATCAGCAATCTATGTTTAAAATCTCTAAGGTTAGTCATTCCCATTGACAAGTATAAAAAAATGGAGCATGGCAAGCCGTACATGACAAAAGTCCATCAATAAGAATATATTGTGTATCCAGTTGCATATACAATTACTTTAAACGCGTATACATGGGGTCGAGAAAGTTATACTGGCAATCCAAATATACATACTAGAGATTAAGAAAAATAACCCAACACAAGAGACAAATATAACAATATGAAAAACGAATACGTTTATCTTCCAAATGCATACATAAGACGAGACGAATATAAATCGCATAAATGTATTTCTGGTCAGCGGTTTGTTTTTTCACGTATCATTTTGTTTTATTTCTCACGGCGGCTATTGTGTATTTTGCGTTTGATTTTCTTGCTTTTGAGAAGATGCAACATTCTCTCGCAAATACAAATAGTAGTGGCGTAATAAGAGAGTTATTACGGAACGTTTCAGAGCTTTCTAACTCCAATAAATGGAAATTTTTTCTAGAGCCAATCATTAACGAGTTAATACAATCTAGCCAAAAGTTTGTTAACATATACAATATCACTCCTTTACATCCTCATTGCTCAGGTCTTTCACAATCTTCCCGTACCTGAACTTCAAGTAAGCAGTCCGCTAATGCTGGGTCACTGAAAATTGAGATGATATCCTTGCGAATAATACTTCTTTGAATAACCACATGTTTTACAAGATTTTCTAAACCACCTGAAAGTTGGCAATTTTCACTTAAGAACATTAAATTTAAGTATATTGTATGATTTGGCAAAGCAATCTTGGTAAACTCACGAAGCTCATTTGACACTTACTGCTGGATTTTTACAACCTCACTGGTCAATACACGTATACAATACTTAAGCAATGGTTAATTTTAAGTCAAAGTAAATGATTTGAACCCGGGAGTGTCGTTACCTGCTTGCAAATGTAGATCGTCCAGGCTGTTATAGTCCTGGTAAGGACTGCTTTTGTTGTTGTTGACTGACGTTTCAACAACTTTAGCGGTAGTCATCTTCAGAGTCAACAGAGTCTTTGGGTTAAAAAACTCTTTTAACCCATAAATAGCTTCAATGTTATCAACACCTTCAATTTGTTTTCTTACTTTGTACAATTTTTGTCATTTCTTTTTTCTTTTTTTTTTCTTCACAAATTCTTTACAAATTTTTTTTTCTATATATTTTTTTACATTTTCATTCATTTTATATTTTTTTAGGTATAATATATCTTTTTAACCAGTAATTGTCAATTTGATAGTCTTTAAGAAAAAGTCAAAAAATACAATTTTCAGAAAAAATTCTTTTGAAAAACTAATGATGAATTTCGAACAAATAAATTCCATTAAAAAACAATGAATTATCTCAATCCTATTCCTTATCACCACCAAATACATATAACTTGTACAAACAAATACGTGTCTTTTAAAGATTTCTGTATCTCAAGAATTTTCTTTGCTTGATATTCTATCTTTTTCATAATTTGTCTTTAATAATATAGCAATGATAACAAATATACCATGATACACGTATTGAAAAAAAAGATATTACAAAGAATGTTATAATCCAGTCATCCAAAAGTACTTTCATGGTGTAAAATATTTACATTTCTTTAGATCCTTGGTGTTTTTTTAATTTTCCCCGGTCTTTAAAATTTTACTTCATTATTCATAGTATCTGAATGTATTTTACCCAATTTATTAAGAATGCAGTTAGATATAAATAAAAAAAAAATTGGATTCATCCATTTCTCTCATCTTTTTGTTCAACAGCATCATATCATTATATATACACCCAAGCAAAAATTAAAATAATAATAATAATAATAAATACACTAACAAAAAATTAAAAATAGGTTTAACAACATCATTATCATCATTTTCCATATTCATTCATTTTTTCCCTTCTTCTTTCGGTTTCTTTAATTCAATAATTCTCGTGTCTTATTCCTTAATTATAATATCTTGTTCTTTTATTTTGTTGTTAATATTTTTAATTTCTACATTCAAATTTTCAATGTCTAATTTTAAAGCAATCATTCTAGAGTTTATCCTCAATTTGTTTGAAAAAAAATATATAATGCTTATAAAACTCATGCTTATCCATCTCCATCAATTATCATGTCCTTTGTGTAAACGCAAATCTTCATCAACAAAATTGAAATATAAATTTTTGTCAACTTCATACGTGAAACAAAACCAATTAACATAATCTTGTACTCTTACTCATGAACAAATATAAGGTTGTGGGCAGTCACACGTTGTTAGGCATCTATTGAATCAAGAGTTATAAAATTTTTTTTAGGAATTTTTTTCCAAATGAAATCTCGAGAAAAATTTTCATTTTCCAAACATGGAATGTTGCTTTGTATTCTTCATTTAAATTAATTAATAGATGATACTAAAAGATGATTTTTTTTCTTTATGTTTTCCACGTTTTTCTGCACCATGTTCATAACCTTAAATATAACGCAATATTTGTCTTAAAACTTTGTTTTCATTTTGAAAATCTTTACATCATTTTCTTAATACATGAAGTGAAACGTTTGTTAACATCACCCATCTCAAAAATAAATTATAATAAAATTTTCTATTTATATGGATATGTCTTTTTCTTCAAGTTTTTTTTATCAATATTTTATTTATAACGAACAATTCATTTTTTCTTAACGTAAATATTCATTTAATTTCTTCATTGTTTTTATTTCTTCTAGCTTTTTATTGTTGTCTTTGATAGTTTATAATAACGTTTTTTCTCTTTCAAAAAATTTTTCATTCTTTTATTCAGCAATTTGAAGTCTTTTTCCTCCAATGCCTTTACCGTTTTTTTTATCTCCTTTTCCAATCGGTAACTTGTAATTTTAATTTCATTACTGTAATTTTTATTCGCTATTTCAGCTAACATATTTTTATATTTTTCCCTGTTTTTAACAGCTTCAAAATATCCATTAAAATTATGTTGTGAAGTCTCATGAGATAAATTTTTTGAATTATTCCTATACTATACAAAACTCTCTCCATTATCCTTACTTAAAATATTTTGATGTTCTCTAATAATTTCTTCACTGTATTTATACCTTGCTTTTTGTTTACAAATGTAAGTATTCTCTTCATATCTTGGACCGATAATAGATTCTATACGTATTTTAAAACAATCATATTTTTATTATTTTTATGACAAATTCCATAAAAATAGGTTCCTGCATAAACAAGTAAAAAATTTTTATCCATTTTTTTCATGTCTTCAATTGTCCATTGATCTTTATACGTGGAATCAGAATAACCAAAAGGAAGATAAATTGATTTATATCATTGCTTCTTTATATCATTGCATTAAGGATAATTTGCAGAAATAACAGAATGCTTTGAATTCTTATTCAATTTGAATTCTTTACAAATATGCCACATGATAACATCTATAAACTATACTAAAATTTATATTATAAATATTGTTTTTATTGCTCATTTTATCGAAGTCATGAAATTAAGTTTTTTTTTATAGTCATGCACTACTAACAAAAGAAGATGATGTCAAGTGTCATGCAGAATTTTGCTGTAAAGGAAAAGAAAAATTAAAATAAAAATTAAAAAAAAATAACATCAACGAAGAAACAGAAGAAAAAGAAAACAAATATAAAAAATATATAAAAAGAACTTAAAGAAATAAGAACTAAAAATACATCTGATATTCAAAATACTTAATATTTCAAAAACTTTTTTTACTCACATATATATTATAGAAAAGAGTAAAATACTTAAAATCAATACGGTTTATACTTCCATCAGTAAATTACACAGCAAGTTATTTTATAAATATTATTTTCATTGCGGATTATGTTTGGATTATGAGCTTTATTTGTATTATAAAAAATTGCCTGCACCAACTCCAGCAGAGATTATTGAATATCATGCAAACGTTTGTTGTAAAGACAAAGAAGAATTAAAAAGGAAAATTGAAGAAGAAATTAAATTAATAAAAGAAGAAGAAGAAAAAAGGAAAAAAATAGAAAGACATACAAAATAGAAATAAAAGAAATAAAAAAGAAAAAAAAATACATTGTTATATGATTTTCTACGACTAATTTGATTCATATTGGTTATTCATCAAAATGAATGAAAATAAAAATACTGATGGAAATGAAAACTATAGAATATTGTTTTTATAGGAAATAATGTAAACCCATGTTCAATGAAAGAATTTATTGTGAAGTTTGTCAATGTATTAGAATATGAAAGAAAATTTGTCAGATATGACACACAGTATTATTATTTTACTAATTTTGTGTGGAACTCTCTTTAAATTCCTGTAAAAATTAGATATTTTATAAATTAATGTGGCTTAAAATTAGCTATTTATAAAGTAAAATATCCAGTTAATTTTTCGTTCGTGCATAGAATAGAACAGTTTTTTGGAATTTGTTAAAAGCAAAATAATTAACATTTTGCTATAACTCAAAAAAATAACTTTAAAATATGAATGTTATAAGTGTGTCTGTGGTGTAATTGGTTAGCGTATTCGGCTGACAAGCAAATGTTTGGTGTTTTTATTCCACCCAGTGACGATTTGGCACTGTGTAAATTTTTAACCTATATGTTATAATATCTGATATAAATATTTATTGTTTGTGGTTATTATTGTATATTTTTTGATACTAATTAATTAATTGCTATAAAATTTTTTAAACCTTAACATTATTATTAAACATAATTTTTTTACTAAAATAAATACCCTGTTTATAAGAAAGAGAAATAAGTAAATTTGAAAACTTATATTATTAAAAAAACACGAATATCTTCTCTACTAAAAGATTAACTAGACTTAATTTTTAATAACAAAAATCTTTTAAACCATGTCACTTAGAGCACAAAAATTTAATGTATAAGAAAAAATATCAATAAGCACAAATTAATTAAAAGAATTTATCGTAAAATTTCTCAGTGTATTAGATTAGGGACAAATATTTTTCAGATATTACACGCAGGATTACTATTTTGCTAATCTTGTGAGGAGCTCTTGTCAAATGTTTATGAAAATGAGCCATTTGATAAATTACGATGGCTTAAAATATGGTATTTATAAGGTTAAACATCTAGTAAATTTTTCGTTCTTAACCATTATTTAAATTGGAGAGAAAAAAAAAGTTTTTTTAAAATTTATTAGTACAACATGATTAACTTTTTGCTGTAACTTAAAACTATTATTATTACATATGTTTGTTCTGAGTGTCTCTGTGGCATAATTTTTTAGCGCGTTTGGCTGCTTACTGAAAGGTTGGTGGTTTGATTCCACCCAATGACGATTTGTCACACTGTAAATTTTGAACATTTATGTCTTAATATCTGATATAAATTTTTTATTGTCTATTATTATCATTGCATATTTTTGAAACTACTTTGTTAATCACTACAAAAATTTTTAAAACTTAACACTAACATTAAACACAATTTCTAAAAAAAAAACTCTATTTATGAGTTAAAAAATAAATTGAAAAACAACTTCTATTATTTAAAAAAATACAACGAATGCCTTCTCTAATAAATGATTAACAAGCCTTAGATTGTAATATCAAAAATACTTTAAACTATGTCACCTAGAACAAAACAAATTCTTTGCATAGAAGAAAACTCTCAGAAAGCCCATCTCTCCACAAAAATAACATTTATAAATTAATTTGATAAGAAATGCAAATATATATTGAAATATCCAATTTATTAGAAAACTCTTTCAATACATAAATACATTAATCTTCATTATTATTTTCAATATCCTTTCATCTTTCTTTAATTAAAAACAGTTTTTGGCATTTCTTTTTTAATTTTTTTTATAAGCCTCCTTTCCTTTCATTGTTTTTTTCTTTTCTTCTTCACTTTTTAATAAATCACAACCAAGTCCAACAATATGTTGCAATGTTTGTGATATAGTTTTTAAATCACCATCTTTTCTGAAATATATTTTTTTAAACTCAAACGTCTAAACAATTCATCCATCCATTGCAACAACATTTAGATCAGCGGGTTTGAAACATTCATTCTCATCATCATCATCATCATTAACATAAACAGTTCCAGTTTCACCCACAACACGGGATAATATAAGTGTTTTTAAATTAATTTATTTCCTGGATCACGTTCCAAAATAACGCGTTTCTCAATGGATGAAAACAAAACATAACAAAAAATTCAACTCTTATCTTTATTTGCAATCTTATTCAGCACATTTGCCAATGTTACACATTTTCGCAAACTTCTTTGCAACTCATCTTTACAGCACAGTCCATCATTGCATGGGCAGTAAACAGATTTAAAAAAAAAACATGGATTACTAAAGCGATTAAAACTCCATACTTTATTTGAAAAGATTGCTTTTCCATTATAATAACTTTGTAAAACTGTTGCCAAATACATTCTATTGCTTCAACAAGTGCTTAAAATTACTATCAAGACACATTGTTATGCACTTCATGTATACTTTTTGCGAGCGAATAATTCCCATTTTCTAGTTCTTTTGAGCATATCTTATATTTTCTTTTAATAAGCTTGAAGTGTGTATATCCAGGTATTATATTGTTTAAAAATAAAAGTTTCTCCCGACTTGAGTTTGCAACTCGGTGCTACGAGCCTACTTCAGAATCAGAAGTTCTAAGCTAATTACATTGTTTTTGCATTATTATTTACATCTTTTCTTAAGAAGGCTTGACAAACCGAGTCAAAAGCTCAGTAAAATTATTTATAAAACCCATAGAGACTTTTATTTTTAAACAATATTCACCTTTGTACAAATGTCTGAATGTATAGAATTTCTAAATTTCGTTCTTTTCATCTCCTAGTTCAAGATATTTTCTTCATAAGTTCTCTGTAGATTTACCAGAATATGATAATACTTTAAAAGACACCCAGAACCAGACCTACAAAAAAAATAAACTCAAAAAAATTACATGCCTACTTATAATATATTTCCAGTCAACTTAAGTCGTAGGGGTAAGCTATCTTTTCCAACTCCTTCTTGGACATTTTAAAATTTACCCTACTATTCAAGAAAGACAGTTGCACCAAGCTGTTCACAAACAGTCAAAAACACAAGTAATGTGCATAAGACTATGCATTAAAGCTTAACAACACTTTTACAGTAAACAGAATGCCGTTCGAAATATATTACTAATATTGTTAAAGCATTACTTAACAAAATATACGTCATTTTACCTTAGATTTTCCTCATTTAAATGTGTGTGCCTATTTAACAAAAACCTGTATCAATATTTTCAATATTTTGTGCTTACGGTATCGTGCTTGTTTTTGCTGGTTGTCATTAATGTAAGCAGTAATAGAAAACGGGATTCCGGAGGGAGCAAATGTTAAAAATTTTTCTCAAATTGGAAGTTTTTACAAATGTCAACATTCGAGTGTTATAATTTATCTGCCTAAAACATCAGACTGACTTCAATAGGCAACAGGTAAAACACAATGTGCACTACAGGCTAATACCAAAGTACAGTTGTGACGACTTCCACTTTTAGAATACAAGATGTACACCGGCTTATATGCAAGTGTAATAAGTTGTGATATAATATATTATGACATTTGCTGAATTATTGAAATTTCAAATTGACTTATTTTTTTTAAGTAAGTGAATAATTTTAAGGTCAGAATATTTATGTAAAGACGATACATGATATATTGGTAGACAAAATGTCTTGTCATGCATGTTTTTGGCATCATAATGCTTTATGCCAAATTTAGAACTTCACTCACTTATAAAGCATCGTATGAATAGAAATCATTGAAGTATCCTTGGTAAATTGCATGGAACTTCAGTCTTGACCTGGGAATTTGAAAAGGAAAAACTGACGAATAACTTTCTTGACACAGCCTAGCCGTTGAGTTGTCAACCGCAGTAAGTAAGATGTTTTATAGGAAGAAAATAAGCAAGCAAGGAGGATTGCGAGAATTTCAATGAACAGACATCTTTTACAGCATGTACCGAACAAAGCACTACGCATAATGACTTGAGCACTGCATATAATGAGAAAAACACTTCACATAATGATAGAAGCAACGCATAGAAATATATTACTAATATTGTTAAAGCATTACTTAACAAAATATACGTTATTTTACCTTAGATTTTCCTCATTTAAATGTGTGTGCCTATTTAACAAACAATTCAAACAATTGGGATCTTTTTTCCAGGTCTGCCGTTATGAATTACTGGACAACTACTTCCGACTTCTTTTGCAAAAGCTTCAACTTTCTCTACGTCGTTCCAGTCCATTGTACGTTTTTTTACTTTTTATTTCTGAGCCAACTAGGCGATAATGTCTCTTTAGAATGTCAAGACATATTCCTTTCATGTTTCCAACACACGTCTCCGGTGCTCTCCCATATTTGAAAAGAATTAAACTGTTGGTAATTTGATAGTCACTTTCATTTATGCAGTGTCTTGCTTTTAATCCAGCCTCCTTGTTTGACAAGCAGTAGCTAGTTAAAATTAATTGAGCTGATTCAAATGCTGAATTAGGTTTTCCCGTATGTACACTTAACTGAGGATTTGCTAAGATCGGTCTGATATCTTCTGTTCTAATTTTAGCTTTAGATTGAAAGCGCCTGTTAAATTTATCCAAAGGGCCAGAGCAAATTTTAAAGCTCCAGTCGTATTGATCTCTCTCAAAGTGCCAGGCATAGTTAAGCACTGTAGTTACTGGACAAATTTTGCTTCGAGCACTTATGTATTTATATACTTCTTCAAAATCTTCTGATTGATGTCGCTTGATTAAATACTTTCTACAATTTTTAAATGTGTTGCGATAAATATAAACTGGGAAATGCAACATGAAGTCACTCACGGCAGGTAATCCAAGAGAAAGTAACACGCTTTTATCACACGATCTAATAAAATGCGATTCTTTCAACGTACAGTCAGTACCAATAACTCGAAGTCGTGTACCATTAAACATCGAATGACGAGTAACGGCAGCTGCAAATGCACTGTCTGAATCAACCCAAGCAATTATTGAACTTTTTGTGTACAAATCAATGTAAAAGCTACTCCAGATTTGTCTGTTGTAACCTGTACCTCGACTGCGCCAAGGGAGTTTTAAAAGTGTATCGTGGTTACGTGGTAAAGGCTCAAAAGCAATTTCAAGGATGCGATCAGAGAAGGATCTACTAAACTGAGCTCTAACGATCTTTGCTAGAGCTCTATCATTGGCAGACTCTTTGTCAAACACCAAGACCAACATTCCATATGATGAAGGCCAGAATAAAACCATAGTCCTCAGAAAATCACAGTAAAATCGTTTTTTGTGAATGGAAGTTAGCCGCATGAATAAGCTCACAGATAAAGCTTCCGACGTCTCTGTGTTTTCGTTGGCAGCATTAGGATTTATTTCTTTTTGTCTCATCTTGCTTATAGAAACTTCTGTTGTTTTATGTGTTGTGGTATCAATGATCAAGAACTTGTTCAATGAAAGTTCAGATCCATTAGGTACGTTAAACTGAACATGATGACCATAGAGTCGATAAAGTTGCAAAAATACAATGTTGACGACAAAAAGTCCAAATATTATTTTCGTTGTGCAATTCTTTTTCAAAACCCAACCTTTCATTTCTTCTGCCTGTAATAACACAACAAGTTGTTAATAAAATGTAATGACAACAGTTTGATTATGATCCCAAGTTTTATGCTACTGTCATTTTTGCCGATTAGATTGTGAATAGAAACGAGAAAATATGCACGGGCACATTGTGAACACATTATTTTGATGGTGCCCGAGTCAAAGTAACCTAGTCACAAAGAACCACGAAAATATAAAGTCCCTGAGAAAAGGTACTCACGCATTGACACCAATGTGAACGACGACTACCAAGTAACATGTAAAGTGTTTACAATGAAAAACATAAAATTATAATCAGACGATGCTAATGGGACTCAGTATTGCGAACGACTAGCAGATTTATGCCCGACCATGGTATCGTACTTCTGCACTCAGTCTGAATACGCCAGTAGAACTTCGCTTTTTCTTGGAAGCACAAAAAATTGTATGCAGAATAGGGTTGTGGTGATAATCAAAGTTAGCTGTCTTTTAATCAAGTTTCTTAACATTTTATTTTAAAGTGAGCCACTATAAACCAGGTGTTAACACAGCTATCAAACGGCGGACTTGCGACTTAAAGGTTGTGAGAACGTCAGGTCTGACTTGACCTTGTCACGACCTTCACACTACTTAAAGAAATTATTTTGGCGTTGTATTGACGTTGGAAAAACGTTCGTCTGGGAAGTAGAATCGACTGTTGAAACAACGCTCACGAAACGCAAAATTTGGCTTTACAGAAACGCTGGATTTTCGAAAAATAAAAATCCATTCGTACAACGCTCACACCACGTTAGGTTTTGAGTATGCTGCCAACTAAGCTTTTGATTTTATGCAACGTAATGACAACATTGAGTTTGACGTCCAAAATAACGTTTACATTACGTTGAATAAACGTACCTGCTCTATATACAAAAAACAGAAATGATGTTTGTTAAACATACTTAAATTCACTTTAAGTATGTTTAACAAATTGGAATTTAGTATTTCCCCAAAAGAAACTCTCTCTTGGTAATTCGGGAGAATGGAATCATTAAAATCCTTCGTCATCGTTCGTACGTCCAACTATCCCCGGGTAGGACGATAATAAGAGTGACATTTTTCAGTATATCATGCACGCTTAAAAATCATCAAGTTGTTGCGAGTTCTCAACCAGCTTATTTAGGATTTTTGAAAACAATATGCTGCAATATTGAGCTGCACTCTGTTAACAGGGTTTTTCAAAAGATTGTTCAAGCTAGTTGAAACATTAATGTTTAATTAATTAACAAGAATCGTTCTAAAGATCGTAAATACCATGGTTTATATTTAAAACTGATTTACTTAAAACAGTTTTTTAAGAGCTATTAACTTATTACTTTTATCATTCACCATCGTATTTGCGATCTTTAGAAAGATTTTTAGATTTGTCACCAAGACAAATTCTCTATTTTATTATTTAATTAACAAGACTGAACAGCATTGTTTAATCAGTAAAAATCAATTTGTTATCAAGAACAAAATTTCGCAAACGAGAACAAAATTTCGCGTTTAGTAGAGCACAAAATTTCGCGTTTAGTAGAGCACAAATTTTTTCACGTTTAGTAGAACACAAAATTTCGCATTTTAATATAGCACAAAATTTGGCGTTTAGCAGAGCACAAAATTTTTTCATAAAAACAAGCACTTATCAGTTATTACGCATTAATATATTTTGCTTGTTTGATAGGTATTTGCAGTATTTAGGCGCAAATTGGGCTTATTATCTATTTTGCTAAATTATTTTTTATTTGTGTGTTTTAACGGGTCGTAATCAAACGGAAAACAAGTGTATAGTTCAAAAAAGTCAGATGATTAGGCATCATGAGATGTTGAAACCTGTTTTTTTAAAAAAAAGTTGTTGTTTTTATTAGATGCGCAATATCAATAGTGCTTTTACGTAGTTACGGTAAAAAAAATTTCTGAATAAAATTTCATAAACGTTGTATTTCTTATTCTTATGACACATATGTAAAGCTCGTGTGTTCAGAAGAACAAGATTATTTTCTACCACCCGTCGGGCACGAGACAATCTGTAGGTCAAGACTCTTTTCTCCTTATTTAAATTCCTGTTAGGGAATGGCTTCATCATTGTTCTGCTCTATAGGAAAGCATCATCACTCACAATGTGGCAATGTATTGTTGATGAAACTCCTGGAATTTCAACAGGTAGTGGTAGACCAAAAGTATTTTCAACAACAGCTTTTTGCAAGCTAGATTCGTTATACACGCCAGCATCTCCTGCACGGCCTGCTGCTCCAACATTAACATGGACAAAATTGTAGTTTGTATCTATTAGAGCTAAAAGCAAAACACTGAAAAAATGCTTGTAGTTGAAAAATTCTGATCCACTAATATTTGGTTGTTGTATGGCTACATGTTTCCCATCTAGAGCTCAAATGCAGCCAGGATAGTTCAATTTTTTTAAAATTGGTCTGCAAGCCTTCCATTCTTCTGCACAAAATGGAGTCTGTAATTGAAGAAAATAAAAGCAATTATATCATAAATTTGCTTATGTTGAACTAATGGATGTTCATTTATTGAATGCTTCTAGGATGATTCCAATTCACCATCGTGCATAACAATTGCTGATGAAGTTGATGATCAAAACAATGATGATGATGACGACAGTTTTAATGATCCAGCAATACCAAGAAAAAGTCTTGGGAACGAGGTTGACTGTCCCATTTCTAGTACTAAACAGCCAACGCGTATAAAGCCAAATAGAAAACGGCAGGAAGACGAAGACTACAAGCTCATGACTCGTTTGGCAGAAAACATCTCAAGAAAAAATAGAAGAGAAATGTCTCACAAGCAATGTAAAAACCCGGATGAAGCATTTGGTCATTATATCACGCAGTCGTTGTCAGAACTTTTCCCACTGTAAAGCACTTGGCACAATACAAAATTAATGAAATACTATTCCAGGCTCAATCAGGGGAACTTACACATCATAGCACAAGAGCGCCAGTAGCTATGCAACAACATATGTTTCACCACCTTATGCACAAAAAACATGCATCTCATCAGCAATGATATGACAAATAGTCAACGATACAACACATCTTCCCCGATAGATGGTGGATTGAGCCGTCCTGTTGTTAATATGTGGTTTTCTCCAATCTCTAGAGAGCTTAATTCAGGTCAAGACTCATCTGCCTATGATAATATGAGCTCTTAATGGATGATGTAAACAGATATTTCTAATAATACCACCAATATTAGTTATAAATGTTGAATAACTTGCCTCGAAAAATGTTTCCTTTAACGAGATATAAAAGCATGGTATGTTTCCTCAACAATATTCGAAATTGTACGCTCACCAATTCCAAACTGGAATGGCAGACTACAAAATGTTTCACCTAAAATGGGAAAATAGTAAAAACAGTAAGAGAACTGATTTCTCCGACCAAGTGTTGAATCACTATACGTAACTCTACGTACCTGTTGCAAGAAATCGCAGGGTTACCGCCAGCCGTTGCGACGTTTTAACGCTGTCCTCATTTGCGTGTCTTGTTTCACAATGTATTGAAAAACAATCTTCAAAATATCTTCAAATTATTGCCTGTCCAATCAATGATACTGGCGGAACTGTTTAGGATCTTCTACTGCTAGCTCTCCCAATAAATTGTCATACACACCTTGTGTTTTCTTCTTAAAAGCCACTGTTTCGTCCATATTTTACGATTTGCTGCCCCGAACCTTCTGTGACGTTTTCATAGCAATAAAAGCAGTAGCAGCGCCTCTTCGTCCTCTGAGAAATCTTCGTCGTCCAGCAACGAGCTCAACGCGTTCAACAAATATGACATTTTGTTTTCTCAATCTCGTGCGTGGGCATTTTTGTCATTTACAGCGCACTTGCTGCTTGCTCTCCGCACACGACGACTTTTTGTCACTCGTGACAAAAAATATCATCTGTCCCAAATAAAAATGTTGTTCAAAACTTCCGCGCACACTAGGAAATTTCGTCGATCACACTTATCACCAATTACAAGTACGCGCGGCAAGTTCACCAGTGTGCGGCGGGCTTAAGAGGCAGCTTGAGCTTATAGATTTTTCAAGGTCAACATGTTTTTCTTGTTAAATGACTTTTGAGAAAGAGTCTTTTTATTTGAGAAACCGCCATGTTTATCGCCATTAATGTCTTTTTTCTCTCATTCATTACAATAACATACAGCACTCAACTTTTTTCTGGTTTCCAGTTGACAAGCGCACGCTGGGTAATTTTCACGGATTGTAAACTAATTGACAAAGGCAAGAGCTCCGTTTACCTCGGGATCATACTTGCAGACATTCTAAATAAATTGTGTTTATTTTTTTACTGGTTCAGATGTATGCTTATGTTAAAGTTTGTATTTAGTGTTATATTTTATCTGTGTGCTTTAGGGCTATCGTCACTTGAATCCAATCAACAGGTGCTCTTTTCAATCATTTTTTTTTCGTATATGTAAATAATCTAACATGTACACTTTTGAAAGGTTTTAAAGAATAACAGTTTTAGCAATCTTTCGCGTTGCGTTCATGATCGAAATAATTTACTTCTAACAACTATAAAAAAATTAACTTGTTAAAAATACTTTGGACGAAAATTCACGGCTACTTTACTTTTACAACGCTGTTAAACGTGATTAAAACTATTAATTAGTGAGCAGTTTTGATAATAAACAAGATTTTTCGGAGAAGCGTATGCCTCTTAACTAAAAAAAACCAAAAAAATAGATATAATTATCCTTGGAAAAAGTAATGTAAAAACTATATGTGGTCAACCATCTAAATTCTTATCGGTAGCGAAAGCTGTTATCAAATATATTTTCCATCACTGGAGTGTTGAGAAATATGAAAAAACAATAAAGCTCTTATGTATTTTTCCTAATCCTACTAGACAAGGCAGAAAAACTGGTACCAAGTACATAGAGGGGTTACAGGAGCTACACTACCAAAAATTGAACAATACACCACCAATAAATAAAATTTGATGTATGTCACTAAATTGTATTTAGATAAAA